TCCCTGCTCCCAGGAAGGAGGCGCCCTGCTCCCAGCCTGCAGACCCAGACAGGCAAGCCTGCAGTGGGAAAAGCTCTCACTCGGGCCCTGCCTCGTGCTAAAAAAAACAACCTCTGGTGTGTTGCCACATGAGGATTAGTCAAATAATTATGAGCTCTGACTTCCCCTGAGTAATTCTGTCGGGTTGACAGCTAAGGCTTCTGGAGGGCTGAGTGGAGTCGTTGCCCCGTCAGTGAGGATAGGCAGCATCCAATACCTACCAGAAGAGGCTGATCTCCGTGGGAACCTACGAGAAACCCAACCAGGCTCACAGGTGGCACATCCCAAACATGAACCAGTTGGGCAAACGTGAGGCCACCAGCCAACCACCAGCCCTGCACCCCACTCCACGAGGTGAGCTCATGCCATTTGGGGCCACAAGCTTTCATCTCCAGGGGCACAGGAGTAGCGCTGGGGCAAAGTGAGAGCTTGCCGGCACTCTCTCGGTCTGCTCTATGGAGCCCTGGGAGGGGAAGGGAAGGTTGTCCTCACATTACAGGCTCAGAGAATCCAATGTGGCAATAAGCTCAGGGTCTTCAGAATCTCACTAAGAAGCCAGGTTCAAATGCCAGCAGCAGCTGGGCTTGGTGGCTCACGCCTATAATCCCAGCAATTTGGGAGGCTGAGGCAGGAGAATTGCTTGAACCTGGGAGATGGAGGTTGCAGTGAGCCAAGATCACACCACTGCACTCCAGCCTGGGCGACAGAGTGAGACTCCATCTCAAAAACAAAACAAAACAAAACAAATGCCAGCATCACTTCTTAAAAACTGTGTCTCTGAACAACTTAAGTCATCTCACTCTGCCTCAGTTTCCTCATCTCTCAAATGGGCATGATTAAACCCACAGTGCAAGGTAGTTTAAAAAATTAAATGAACTGGGCTGGGTGCAGTGGCTTATGCCTATAATCCCAGCACTTTGGGAGACCAAGGCGGGAGCATCACTTGAACCTAGGAGTTTGAGACTAATTTAGGCAACATGGTGAAACTCCGTCTCTACAAAAAATACAAAAATTAGCTGCACATGGTGATGTGCATCTGTGGTCCTAGCTACTCGGGAGGCTGAGGTGGGAGGATCACTTGAGCCCAGGAGGCTGCAGTGAGCCATGGTCAAACCACTGTACTTCAGCTTGAGTGTTGCAAAAAAAAGAAAAAAGAAATTAAATGAGCTGTTATATGCCAAATGCCTAGCACATAGTAGGTGCTTCACTCAGTAGGTAAACACTTATTGAGCACCTATTGTGCGCCAAGTGAACAAGCAGATCTCTGTCCTCATGGAGCAGACAGAGCCCAGCATGGGAAGGTTCTGACGGGAGGGTGGGAGGTGAAGGGAAATTCCAGAGTAAGTGATGTTGACGGAGGCCTCATATTTCTGTTCGGCTCCAAGTCATATGGCAAGCAGTGGCAAGGTCAGTGCTCAAACCCAGGCTTCAGACTCCCTACCTGCTGCCAGGGCCCCAGGCAGCCTTGGAGGGACCAGGTGAGTGGGATTGGCCAGCTCTAGGTTAGTCAGCCCAGCAGCAACATCCCTGCCCAGAAGCTCCCAAGCCTCCAGCCTAGTGCAGGCTTCAGAGGGCTTCAGCCTTGGCCACTACAGCTGCTTCTCCATTCACCTGAGGATGGTCATTTGGGTATTTCTAGCCTTGAGTTATTACAAATAAAGCTGCTATGAATATTTGTGAGCAAGTCTTGGTGTGGGCATATATTTTCATTCCCTTGGGTAAATTCCTAGAAGAGCCAAATTGTAGTAGGCATACTTTTAACTTTTAAAGAAACTGCCAAACTGTTTTCCAAAGTAGTTGTACCACATTCTATGTTCATGTGTTCCCTGACAACACTTGGTGTAGCCAGTCTTTTTCATTTTTTATTTTTGAGGTGGAGTCTCGCTCTGTCGTCCAGGCTGGAGTGCAGTGGCGCGATCTTGGCTCACTGCAAGCTTTGCCTCCTGGGCTCACACCATTCTCCGCCATTCTCCTGCCTCAACCTCCCAAGTAGCTGAGACTACAGGTGCCCGCCACCTTGCTCGGCTAATTTTTTGTATTTTTAGTAGAGACGGGGTTTCACCAGGATGGTCTCCATCTCCTGACCTCGTGATCCACCCGTCTCGGCCTCCCAAAGTGCTAGGATTACAGGCATGAGCCACCGCGTCCGGCGTAGCCAGTCTTTTTCATTTCAGCCAATCTAAGAGATGTGTTGTGGTGTGTCACTGTGGCTTCGACTTGTATTTCTCCAAGGACTGATGACCCTGAGCATATTTGAATATATTTATTTGGCTTCTGCTTATGCTCTTTGGTGATGTATCTGTTCAAATCTCTTGCCCATTTTATTTATTTATTTATTTATTTATTTATTTATTTGGAGATGGAGTCTTGCTCTGTTGCCCAGGTTGGAGTGCAGTGGTGAGATCTTGGCTCACTGCAATCTCCACCTCCCAGGTTCAAGCAATTCTCCTGCCTCAGGCTCCTGAGTAGCTGGGACTACAGGTGTGTGCCACCACTCCCAGCTAGTTTTTGTATTTTTAGTAGAGATGGTGTTTCACCATGTTGACCAGGCAGGTCTCAAACTCCTGACCTCAAGTGACCCACCTGTTTTGGCCTCCCAAAATGCTGGGATTACAGGTGTGAACCACCACACCTGGCCTATCTTGCCCATTTTAAAGAAGTAATGAGGTTGTTTGTTTTCTTATTGTTGAATTTTAAGGGTTATTTCTGGCTGGGTGCGGTGGCTCACGCCCACAATCCCAGCATTTTGGGAGGCTGAGGCAGTCGGATCACTTGAGATCAGGAGTTTGAAATCAGTCTGGCCAGCATGACAAAAATCCTGTGTCTACTAAAAATATTTTTAAAAGTAGCCAGGCATGATGGCAGGTGCCTGTAATCCAAGTTACATGGGAGGCTGAGGCAGGAGAATCACTTGAACCCACGAGACGGAGGTTGCAGTGAGTTGAGATTGCACCATTGCACTCCAGCCTGAGCAACAAGAGCAAAACTCTGTCTTAAAAAAAAAAAAAAAAGAGTTATTTCTATTTTCTGGCTACAAGTCCTTTTTCGGATATGTGATTTGTGAATAGTTTATCCCAATCTGTGACTTGTTTTTTCATTATCTTAACAGTGTTTCCTAAAGAGCAGAAGTTTAAAAATTTCCATGAAGTTCAATTTATCCATTTATTTTATGATCACACAAAATAGGGTCACATCTAAGAAATCTTTGTCTAACCCAAGAGCACAAAGGTTTTCTCTTATGTTTTTTATTCTAGAAGTTTTGTAGTTCTAGGTTTTACACTTAGAGCTGTTATCTGTTTGAGTTAAATTTTTTCTATGGCACAAAGCATGGATTCAAGTTCATTTTTTAAAATATGAATAGCCAATTTTCCCAGCATCATTTGTTTTGTTTGTTTGATTTTTCCTTTTTTGAGACAGGGTTTAGCCCTGTGGCCCAAACCGGAGTACAGTGGCACCATCTCGGCTCACTGAAGACTTGACCTCCGGGCTCAAGCGATCCTCCCGCCTCAGCCTCCTGAGTAGCTGGGACTACAGGCATACACTGCCACCACCATGCCTGGCTAATTTTTGTATTTTTTGTAGAGATGGGAGTTTCGCCATGTTGCTCAGGCTGGTCTCGAACTCAGCACCATTTGTTGAAAGGAGTATCTTTTCTCCATGCAATTTCCCTTATGCTGCAAAAAAAAAAAAAAAAAAAAAAAGCAGTTATTCGTATGTGTAGATCTGTTGTTTCCGGATGCTCATCTCTTCCATGCATCTATTGGTCTGTCTCTGTGCTAATACGTTTTGACTACTATAGTTTTATAATAAGACTTCAACTCAGGTAGCATTGGTCTTCCAACTTTGTTCTTTTTTTGAAGTTATTTGTTCTCAGTCTTTTTGCATTTTAATATGAGTTTTAGTATTAGTTTGTCAGTTTCTCAAAAAAATATATATATATGACAGGACATTGTACCTAGTAGTTGCTCAGGAAGTTGTTCTGGACTTCAATCTTGATTAGTAACACTTCTACAGTGCTTCACAGTTTGCTAAACCTTTTCCTACCTTAACCTTAACTCTCCCAACAAACCTGTGACACAGATGAGCATGGTGTAGCTGATGTCCCCTATTGTACAACAAGGGAAACTGAGGCTCTGAAGGACACACACCTTTCCTTATGATCATGCTGCTAGTGAGTGGCAGAAACAAGGTTTGAATACATGTTGTCAGACTCCAAACCCAGGGCTCTCCGGCAATACCCTGCCTCTGCGTGGGAGGTCTCCGATACCTTCTTACTATCCCCCAAATGGAATAAACGGGGCAAAGAGGGGTCCTCGCTACTGTGGTTACCTTTTTAAAACTCAGTTTCAAAGGCTGGTGTCATGCAAATGTGTTTCGTTGCCCTTATTTGAACGCTTTCCTCTGGCTTCCCTAAAATGTGGGTGTCTGTCTTAATAGAAAAACCATATGCCTTTGTTCCCTTTTAACTTTCTTTCTTGGCGAGAACACAGCTCCACAGAGGAAAAGGGAGAGGAAACAGGGACACATTACAGAAGGAGGGATTCCGGGCTTGAAGTGAGGAAGAACTTCCGAACGGTGAAGGCTGCCAAGCCCTGGATTAAAATGCCAAAAAAGAACTTTTCCAGCCTGGGAATCCTGAGGTGCCACCGCTCTCTGGGGCTAGCTATGGCCTCCGATCTCTCTGTCCTCAAAGGTCACTGGAAATCAGTCGTTTGACCTCTCAATGCATTCCCCTAGGTGCACAATGACAGGTACAGGTTCCAGGGCTAGTCCACACCTCCCAGTGGGACCCGTGATGGAGCTGACGTACAGTGTACATAGCAGTTGTGTGTTTTTGTTTGTTTGTTTGTTTTGGTGGGGGGGACAGAGCAAGACTCTGTCACGCAGGCTGGAGTGCAGTGCTGTGATCTTGGCTCACCGCAACCTCCCCCTCCTGGGTTCAACCGATTCTCCTTCCTCAACCTCCTGAGTAGCTGGGATTACAGGAATGTGCCACCATGCCCGGCTAATTTTTGTATTAACAGTTCTGAAATATTGGTTTGTCTTGTGTCAGGTTCTCTGGAAACAGTTCCTGAGATGAAGATTTGCATGTAGGGGTGTGTGGGAGGTGCTCTTGGGAACAAGGTCATGTGCTGTGCAGGAAGCCGATTGGGCAACGTGGATGCAACAGGGACCTCAGCCTGAAGAGTTGGTCCCTTTGTAACTCCCTATCAACCAGTCATTAGGTGCTGGCTGCCCCAGGGAAAGGAGAGGGACTGGCTGGCAGCCCACGCTCCTGGTCACTGGAAAAATAAGTTCCTTCATCCTGAAGGGAGCGTGCACTGGGGTGCAGATTCCTGCACATCCACTACAAGGACGGAGGTTAGTTCAAGCCCTTCCTTTGTTCTTCACTGTTTCATGCGATCAGGCCTCTGGTGTCCCTGTTCAGAACAGCAGGAACGCACTTCCAGGAGCCCCTTGGGATGCAGTAAGTCCATTATTCACTCACCCTAGGAAGAGCACAGTGAAAATGATGTCAATGCAAAAATATTAATATCTAGAGTTTCTTTTCTCACTCTCTAGTTTTTTTCTGGGATTTTACTTCCATTTCCAGTACTCAGGACCTCTTTGATACTAATGAGAGATAAGGTAATTCTAGAACTTAGTGATTTCTTTCACATCACCCACAGTGGTTGGAAGAATTCCTTGGCAAGCCAGGCATGGTGGCTCACGCCTGTAACCCCAACACTTTGAGAGGCCGAGGTGGGCAGATCACTTGAAGTCAGGAGTTCAAGACCAGCCTGGCCAACACAGAGAAACCCAAGCTCTACTAAAAGTTAAAAAAAAAAAAAAGAAAAGAAAAATTAGCCTGGCGTGATGGCAGGCGCCTGTAATCCCAGCTAGTTGGGAGGCTGAGACAGGAGAATCGCTTGAACCTGGGAGTCAGAGGTTGCAATGAGCCAAGATCACGCCTTTGCACTCCAGCCTGGGTGACAGAGTGAGACTGTCTCAAGAAAAAAAAAAAAAGAGAGAGAAAAAGAATTCCTTGGCTGATTCATTGACCAGATAACTGATTAGCACCCCCAGAATAAAAGCCCCTCCCACCCTCACTCCTCCAGGGAGGAAGATTGTGCTTCTTCCTTCACTTATATTGTCAGGAAGCTTCTGGAAAGAAGAGGAAATGCTGCCCAGAGAGCGCAACCCTGAAGGCATAAGCTTCACCTGGGTCCCGGGAGAGTGGGGTCGGTGGGGGTGGGGGAATAAGCTTGCGACGGGGAGTGGTTGGGAGGAGGAGACATGTCCCCACTTTTACTTGTTCCTTTAGCAAATATTCGCGGCATGCTTCCCATAGGGCGGCACAGTGCCAGTCCCTGCCCTTCAGTAACATGGGGTCTAGTGCAACCCTGTGTTAATGCTATGATGGGACAGGTAGAGGCTGCAGTGAGTAAAGCGCCCAGGGCAGACAGCAGGGTGGGCATCAGGGAGTCAGCAAAGAGCTGCGGGAGGAGAGGGTGGCTAAGCTGAGACCTGGAAGAGAAGGAGGAACTGAGGGGGAAAGGGATGGAGTTGAGGGTGCAAGGAAGAGTCCGGGCTAGGGGGACGGCACCTGCCAAGGCCACAGGCAGGTGAGAGCCTCAGAGCTTCAAGGAAGGCACAACATTCTTTGTGGCTCAAAGGCAGAGGGATGAGGAAGCCAAGGGGCAGATGGGGACAGAGCTGGCAGGGCGGGCAGGGCCTGAGAAGGGAATAAACAGCTGCTGCCCGACCAAGACCACCACGACCACCAAGGCGAGGGGCATCCCCAGGAAGAATCAGAGGCCTTGGGAGTGAGTAAATTATCAGCCGAGACAAAGCCAAGAGCGGCCCCTTTGGGAATTGCCCAGAGGGGCGCCCCTGTCTCCCCCAGCACTGGTGGGAGGGGAGGTCCGGTGGCGGCGGCGGCAGCAGCAGCAGCGTGGGGGCTCTCTTTCTGGAACACGCTTTCCCAGTCTGCCATGGCTACGTTGCTCACCTCTTGCAGGTCTTGGCCTCAATATCACTTTTCTCAAATGAGTTCTCCTAATTACCCTATTGCGACTTCTCCCACTCTTGCCCCCTGCCTGGCTCGTTTCTCTCCATGGCCCTTATCACCATTCTCCCCCCAGCACTTTACTTGCCTGCCTCACATTGTCTAGCTCCTCTCACATCTTGGGTGTGTATGTCTGTCTTTTTTTTTTTTTACCACCATATCCTGGGATCCTAAATGCTGGACTCAGTAAGTATTTATGGAATAGAAAATGGCTAACGATCGCTCCTTTTTTTTCTTTTTTTTTTTGAGTCAGAGTCTCGCTCTGTCATCCAGGCTAGAGGGCAGTGGTGCAATCTCGGCTCACCGCAACCTCCATCTCTCAGGTTCAACCGATACTCTCCGCCTTCCAGGTAACTGGGATTACAGGCACCCGCCAACACCCCCGGCTGATTTTTGTATTTTTAGTAGAGATAGGGTTTTGCCATGTTGACCAGGCTGGTCTCGAACTCCTGACATCAAGTGATCCGTCTACCTCAAGGTGGTGCAATTACAGATGTGAGCCACCGCACCTGGCCAGTCTCTCCTATTTAATACTTAACAATGCACTGGACTCAGCCCTCACACTTTGCAAGCATTCTCTCGTTTATCCACACAATAACTCCCATTTTACAGATGAGCAAACTGAGGCCGAGGGACACACAAAAAATTTGCTCCAAATCCACATCTACTAAGTGGCAGAGTTGGGGTTCAAGCCCTTAGATTTGGCATCGGCAGTTGCTGCTGCTGAGTTCCCTCTGGAGAATGGCTTTTGCACTTCCAAGAATAGACAATATCTAGGAAGGGAATGTGTTTCTACCTCCCTCCCCACCATGCGCAGAAGCACATATTTTAAAAACCAAATTCCAGCAACTACATGTTCAAATTCAGAGGGCAGATTTGCCAAAGTGGTGGCATTGGCTGTTATTGGCAGAAACCTCCCACTCACAGACGTGGATCGTGAGTTTGCTGGTAAATCTGTTGAGTGGAACTCCTGAGATGGGGATGCACGTTCCCACGGCCTGTGTGGGGTGGCTCCCAGGCTAGCCCAGGAAGCCTGTTAACTCCCGCATCCTTCTTGAATTCAGACTGAGCCTCAACGCCAAGAATCTAGGAGCGCCAGATGGGAGGCTGCTGGTGGGGGAACTGACAGAGAAAGCGTGCTTCCTCTCTAGGAGCCCACTCTCACGGCCACGGCTGTGTCCAAGTTTCTTATTTGTGCTACAAATAAACCACATGGGCAGATAGAGGGACACTGACTAGGACCCTGTATCCTTCCACCTGGCAGCTGCCCCTGGAGGGTGGAGGGATGTGCTCTCATCTCACGATGTCCTGAGGCTGAGAGAGGTCAGGGACTTGCTCTGAATCCTACAGCCTGAGTTGGAATCCTACAGTCTCAGGCTCTCAGGACTCGGGGAAGGAGGCGGGCGGGCGGAGCTCCAGTCTGGGACTCCAGCCTTCAAAGCCTTGTTCTGTCCACTATTCATTTGGGAAAGACTGTTGCCCAGAGAGAGTGAGAAGCTGTTGGCCAGGCTGCTGTCCATCTTGAGCTCTGAGTGCATCTCTTGCAGATTGCTCCTGAAGCTGCACCTCCCAGCTCATTCATCTGAGTGGAGAGAAGCCAGATTTCAGCACAGGTGCCGGGGTTGCTCCCCTACCTTTTCCCCCATCAGCCAGCGTTTCTCGGTTCTGAGTGGCACTTTGTTGGTTTCTTTGGGGGAGAAAAGGATGATACTGATGACTGTTATCTTTCACTTCCCAGACCCCGCCCAGTGTACTTTTAAGATTCGGAAATTTTATTAAATCCCTCAGCATAGCTTCTTTCTACACTTTCTGTGGTTTAACTCTCCCTGGGTCTTTTTGCTTAGCGTTTGGCTTTTGGTGTTTTCTCTTTCAACGTGAGAGTCTGTCTCCCTTTTTTTTTTCTCCATTGTTTCTTAAATGAACCAAGTACTGACATCTCCTTGTTTTGATTTGAGACAGTCTCACTCTGTTGCCCAGGCTGGAGTGCAATAGCGTGATCTCGGCTAGCTGTAGCCTCCGACTCTGGGTTCAAGTGATTCTTATGCCTCAGCCTCCCCAGTAGCTGGGATTACAGTCATGTGCCACTACATCCGGCTAATTTTTCTATTTTTACCAGAGATGGGGTTTTACCATGTTGCTCAGGGTGGTCTCGAACCCCTGACCTCAGGTGATCTTCCCACTTTGGCCTCCCAAAATGCTGGGTGTGAGCCACCACACCCGGCCTACATTTCCTTGTTTTTTGTTTTTTGTTTTTTTTTTTTTCTGAGACAGGATCCTACTATGTCGGCCAAGCTGGAGTGCAGTGGTATAATCTCGGCTCACTGTAACCTCTGCCTCCCAGGTTCAAGTGATTCTCATACCTCAGCCACCTGAGTAGCTGGGACCACAGGTGCCTGCCACCACACCCAGCTAATTCTTGTATTTTTAGTAGAGTGGGGTTTTCACCATATTGGCCAAGCTGGTCTTGAACTCTTGACCTCAGGTGATCAGACTCTCAAAGTGCTGGGATTACAGGCATGAGCCACCACGCCCAGCCCCAAGTACTAACATTTCTAAATATACATATAGCGAAGTACAGGCCTTGAATACTGGACAGTAAGTGCACACTGACCTGGTGTCTGTCCAGTGGATCCCTCTGTGCTTGAGTCCCCAGTATGAATCTGGTCTCCTGGGCCTGCCTTCCCTTCTCCTTTCAGTCCTGCCCCTCTGGGATCCCGCCTCTGGGCGTTAGCTCCTGTAAGAGAAGGCCTTTGCTTCTCACCTGTCCGACTGGTACCCTTCTCAAAGCAAGTTCCCCTGGCCCGTGAAGTCTTTCTGACCACTGTGTCCTGAGCACTTTCCCAGTCCTACCTCCTGAGGGGTTACTGCCTGCCTCACTGATCTGGTGGCACAATGTGACCCTCTATAATTATCTTGAGAAAGACCGCATTAATTTCAAAGACAGGAATAGCATTTTAGAAAAATTAACTACCCCACCACCCTCCATCCTGGTCCCTCCCCACCTCCACCCACCCCCAAGCTAATTCATTCTGAGACTGCTTGGTGCTTTTTGTTATTTAATCGTCATGCACTCAGATGCATTCAAATAGGAACAGAGGCTGCAACATCCCAGGCTCACCGGGAGTGCAGCCAGGCAGACCCCTCCCCTGCATGCTTGATTCCTACCGCTGCGGAGGGAATCCTGCCAAATGTTCCAGCGTCTCTGGGGTGAGAGCTCACTCGACACAGCCCCGAGATCCCTGCAGCGCTGGGGCCACCTCCTTTTCACAGGTGAAGGCACCGACGTGCGGAGAAGTTACTGTGAGTCACCTCAGGTCACAGAGCTAGTAAGAAAGAGAGTGAAATTGGAACTCGGGTCTTCTGACATGTCCAGCTGTTCTGGGAAAAACGCTGAGGGCGTTTGACTTCCCTAAACCTCACTCCCTGAGTGCCTGTTTCTGCAGAGCTGAGGTTAGCTAAAAAGGTGTTGCAATCCCTCATTGTTCGCCCAGCAGCCAAGCCCGGGTTCCCATCTGTGGCTTGATATGTGCCCTTGGTGGCAGCCCCTCAAAACGCGTCTGTGGGTCGGTGTCCACCGGGGTGAGTCACTAACCATCTGCCAGCTGTCACCTCACCTTTAGCGCAGGGCGGAGGGAAGGCTTGTTTTCTTTGGCTGGCATTAAACAGCCACCTCTGACACGTGGTTGGATGCGGGACATATGTGGTGTCAAAGGCAAACAGGCCCACAGGAAAAACAGATTTGTCGAGTGGAAGTCTCCCAGGCCGAGAGCAGGCTTCTCCTTCAGGCTCCCAGGGCTGACCGGGATGTCACCTGCTTCAAGGAGACAGATGAGGACATGTTGGGGAGCTCATGCTTGGTGATTTGTGGGAGCAATAGGAACGCCTGGCTGAGCTGTGTGTGTGTGACCTGGGATGGCAGGGTCAAGGCGTGGGGAGCCTGAGCCCCAGCTCGCACTTCTTCTGTGAAACTCAGATCTGCTAGTAAGCGCAGCCGCTGGGGGCCTGTCCCTTCTGACAGTCTATGCTGAAATCCCAACCCCAGTGGGCGGGTGGGTATGCCTTGATGATTAATAGCCGAAGGTTCGTGCTGGTGTCGCCATGCTCTCCAGGGACTTCTTCATTTCAGTGCTGGCAGCGTGGAGGAAGGTTCTTAGGAGAACACTGGAGAATGTGGGAAGGCTTTGGGCACTGGCCAGGACCCCCACCCCACTCCAGCAGCAGCCTCCCAAAGGGCCACCCAGGATGCTGTTAGGGCTTTAAGAACACCAGTTTCTGCCAGGTGCAGTGGCTCACGCCTGTAATCCCAGCACTTTGAGAGGCAAAGGCACGCAGATCTCTTGAGCTCACGAGTTCAAGACCAGCCTGGGCAATAGGGTGAAAGAAACCCCGTCTGTACAAAAAGTACAAAAATTAGCTGGTGTGGTGGTGCGCATCTGTAGTCCCAGCTACTCGGGAGGCTGAGATAGGAGGCTGCAGTGAGCTAAGATGGCACCACTGCACTCCAGCCTGGGCAACGGAGTTGTTTCAAAACAACTTCGTCTCAAAACAAACAAAACAAAACAAAAAACCACGAGTTTCTTTTCGTTTAATGTTCCATATTGATTTCAGTGTATTTAAGGATACTTAGCACATCAAACTCATGATTGTATGCATTTTATTATTTAGGAGAAGGCTGAACTCCAAAAAATTCAGCAAACAATAATACAGGCCACAGGTGGATATGGTGAAACTCTGATAGGGGAGTTTGAGCATTTGGAGTTTGGGAAACGCTGCTTTCTTGGAGAAGCCAATATTCATGCCAAAAATATCAACTGAGCCTCGCTCTAGCTGAGCAGATGGTTAGAGGCCTCTCTCTGAAACAACGTTAGCCCATTCCCAAGCTTCCAACACATATGCAATCTAGATTGGTAGGGTAAAGTGGAATGAGAGGTTTTTTTGTGTGTTGATTTGTTATAATCAAGACTGTATCATGTAATGGGCCCTCAGGTATAGAGATAGAATATTAAAAAGAAAAGAAAGAGAAAAGAAAGAAAAAGATGTACAACTCTACAATTTTGTTAAAAAAAAGTACATCTATGGTCTTTTTTGAGCTTTTTGCTTAAGAATATGGTGTTTTAAATAGCTAAAATTTTAGTGTGTGTATATATGTTTTTCTGCTTGACTTGATGAACCAAACATTAATTCATTTGAGGTTTTCCTTATATGCGAGGTGCATCAGGTGCGGGCCCCTCACATGGGGCATGAATTAGAATTGAAACAGCTAGGTGGGAAGGGGTCTGCAGAGAAACTCCAACCGGCCTGCTCCCCGGGAGGAATCTGCACTGGGGTGAAGCCACAGCAGTTGATGCTGTTTACAGTGGGGAGAAGCCTGGCCCCTCCTTTTCCTGGGTGGAACCTGGGATTCAGTCTGTGGTGCCAGAAACGCACTAGCAGGACCCTGGCTTTGCAGAGGGTCCGTCTTTCCCTTTTTTTCCCTTTTGCCGAATACATTCTATTATTCGCACCCTTCAAATTGTCTGCGAGCCGGCTGGGCGCAGTGGCTCACGCCTGTAATCCCAGCACTTTGGGAGGCTGAGACGGGTGGATCATGAGGTCAGGAGATCGAGACCATCCTGGCGAACACGGTGAAACCCCATCTCTACTAAAAATACAAAAAATTAGCCAGGCGTGGTGGTGGGCGCCTGTAGTCCCAGCTACTTGGGAGGCTGAGGCAGGAGAATGGCACGAACCCAGGAGGCTGAGCTTGCAGTGAACCAAGATTGTGCCATTGCACACCAGCCTGGGTGACAGAGCAAGACTCTGTCTTGAAAAAAAAAAAAATTGTCTGGGAGCCTAATTTTTCACGGCTGTGTGACAAGGACCCAGCACTTAGCTGAACTAAGGAGAAAGTCCTACAACAGAATCACCTGGGAAGCTTGTTAAAATGCATAATTCCTCCCAGGATTCTGGCTCAGTCAGTCTAGTCAGTCTAGGGTCAGTCTAGGGTGGGCCTACGCATATGCATTAAAACAATTTTTTTTCTATTTTTTTTGTGATGTAGTGTCACTCTGTCACCCAGGCTAGAGTGCAGTGACACGATCTCAGCCCACTACAGCCTCTGCCTCCCGGGTTCAAGTCATTCTCCTGCCTCAGCCTCCAGAGTAGCTGGGATTACAGGCACCTGCCACCATGCCCAGCTAATTTTTGTATTTTTAGTGGAGACAGAATTTCACCATGTTGGCCAGGATGGTCTTGAACTCCCGACCTCAGGTGATCCACCCACCTCGGCCTCCCAAAGTGCTGGGATGACAGGTGGGAGCCACCGCCCCCGGCCAGGCATATACATTTTAACCAGCTTTTCCGGTCGACTGATAAAGGCGAGCCTGGACCTCACTTTGAGAAACCTTGATGCGTAGGGGAGAAACATGACTCAGACGTGGACTCCATCCTGAGGAGAGCACAGCCAAGGGAAGCAGATGAGACGCCTACAATAACTCACAAAGTAGAAAGTACCCAGTGCAGTGGGAGAATATGAAATGAAGTGCAAGGCAGCTCCAAGGAGGGCAAAACTGCTTCAAACAACTTGTGCCTCAGGCACTCACGCATTGCTGTGATAATAAGCTTCGTTATTTTGTGTCCTTGACCAGTGAGAAGTCGTCCTATCAGGATGGGATCTGGGTCTTAGTCATCTTTAAGCTCAGTGTCTAGCACAGAACTAGGATTGGAGTGAGACTGACCCATGGCTGGTAGGACGGATGGACAGACAGGTCGAGGGAGGGAGATGAATTTTTTCCAAAGGCGGTGTCTTATTTTATTTTATTTTTATTTATTTATTTATTTTTGAGACAGAGTCTTGCTCTGTCGCCTAGGCTGGAGTGGAGTGGCTCACTGCATGCTCCGCCTCCTGGGTTCCAGCAATTCTCCTGCCTCAACCTCACAAGTAGCTGGGATTATAGGCGCGTGCCACCGTGCCTGGCTAATATTTGTATTTTTAGTAGAGACGGGGTTTCACCATGTTGGACAGGATGGTCTCGATCTCTTGACCTTGTGATCTCCCTGCCTCGGCCTCCCAAAACGCCGGGATTACAGGCATGAGCCACGGCGCCCGGGCAGTGTCTTCTTTTTAGAAGGTGTTTGTTCATCCAACAAATCTCGGTAAGATGCATGAGGGATTTTGTTTTAACGTAGGTGAGTTGGGGAAGGATGGTCTAAATAGACTTTGCAGGTATTCATCTCTCTTACCATCACCACCCACACCCTTGGGTGCTGCAGCTTGACCCTCTGCTTCTGAAGGTTGCATATTTTTGCATGTTGTATTCCAACCTACCCGGAATTATTTCTTCATAGTATTACTCCTACATCTAACAGAAGAATCATTTCAATGCTGTAGGATCTTCTCTCTCCTTTTGTAGTGGGGAAAAATTTCCCATTATTTATCTTGGATATTGGAAGTCACACGCTAGTTACAAGAACTTGTGATCTTTTGAAACAGTGTGGCTTTTTGTGAGGAAATGCGTAAAGCAAATACAACCTCCCAAGACCCCACCCTTTCTGCTTATCGACAGAATTAAGAAACATACCTGCAGAATCCTTTGAAGACAGGCTGTGAGTAGCTAAGGCAGGGCCAAGAGTGGAGACATCCTCTCACTGTACTTTCAATTCCCCACCACCCACAGCTCCTCCTAGAGTACTCGTGTGCTGTGGTTTGAATGTGTCCTCCAAATTTCATGTGTTGGAAACTTGATTCCCAAATTCATATGTTTATGTTATTTGAAGGTGAAGCCTTTGGGAGGCAATTAGGACCAGATAAGGTCATCAGGGTGGGGTGCCCATGATGGAACTGGTGGCTTTATAAGAAGAGGAAGAGAGGCTTGAGCTGAAATACTCTTGCCCTCTTGCTAAGTGATGCTCTCCTTCATGATTTTATCCTGGGGCACGAAGGCCCTCACCAGATGCCAGCACTGTACTCTTTGATTTCCCAGCTTCTAAAACTGTGGGCTAAATACATTTTTCTTTATAAATTACCTAGTTTGTGGTATTCTGTTATAGTAGCAGAAAATGGACTGAGACATTATGAGATAAATTCACTTTAAGAAAAAAAAATTAGGCCCATGTGTTAGAAGAACCTGGGGACTCCTCTGAGAGGATCAGAACTGCTAAGGACTTCCCACCCTGGCTCCATGGTCTGACCTAGAACTTGATCCGCCTGGCTCAGTGGGGCTGTTTTGGCAGGAGCAGGGGTGGGGTCTGGTTCCAGTCCTCCCGGCCCATCACTCACTGGCTCAGGGATCTTGGGCAAGACTTGATCTTCTTTGGGCCTCAGTTTCTTCATCTGCACCCACAGCTGTTGGGAGGATTAATGCACTAGGGCATGCAAAATATGCCTGATGAGCTCTTACAACTACCGCTGGTCTGGGAGAAATTTCATCTGCATTATGTATATGTATTTCTTCTTATTTAATCTTCTGAGGACAAAGAGAACATTTTAAAAAATGCATTCTTGCCTGGCGCAGTGGCTCACGCCTGTAATCTCAGCACTTTGGGAGGCTGAGGCAGGCGGATCACAAGGTCAGGAGATGGAGACCATCTGGCTAACACGGTGAAACCCGTCTCTACTAAAGATACCAAAAATTAGCTGGGCATGGTGGCAGGTGCCTGTAGTCCCAGCTACTCAAGAGGCTGAGGCAGGAGAAGTCCTGAACCTGGGAGGCGGAGCTTGCAGTGAGCTGAGATCTCGCCACTGCCACTCCAGCCTTGGGCGACAGAGCGAGACTCTGTGTCAAAAAAGGATAAGAGGTCAGCAAGCTACAGCCCATAAGGCAAATCTGCCCCGCCCCTCTGCTTTTGGTATGATTCATGAGGGTAAGAAGTGCCTTTTTGACATTTTTTGTGTTTTTTTGTTTTTTATTTTTTTTCGAGAAACGGAGTCTTTGCGTCTGGTCACCGCAGCTTGGGTGCAGTGGCCAGATCTTCGGCTCAACTGCAAGCTCCGCCTCCGGGTCACGACCATTTCCTGCCTCAGCCTCCCGAGTAGCTGGGATTACAGGCACACGCCACCACACCCAGCTAATTTTTGTATTTTCAGTAGAGACAGGGTTTCGCCATGTTGGCCAGGCTAGTCTTAAACTCCTGACCTCAGTTGATCCGCCTGCCTCGGCCTCCCAAAGTGCTGGGATTACAGGCTTGAGCCACCGCGCCCGGCCGCTTTTTACATTTTTAAGTGGTTGAAAATATCAAAAGAATAATATTTTGTGGCAGGTGAAAATTAAATTTAAAACA